TCCAATGTTCTCTTTTTAGCTTTTTTGGGATCACGTTTTTGGAACAATGGAATTTAAAACAGATAACGATATCCCAATTGATAGTCGTTGAAATTTGTCATGACAAAGATTCAAATCTCAATGTTTTTTACAGCCGCTCCGCTCTGTCTGAACGATAATTTATCATTTTTATCTTCGGGGGTTTTTATTTTAGTTTTAGTTGTTCGATGGCTGCTGTGATTTAAAAGTTTTATAAAACATTTTTTATTTTTTACGTCGCGTCATTTTTTAATGGATATATCTTTTTTTCAATAATAATAATAATAATAATTTAAAATGTAATAAAACAAATATTAATTACGAGACTTTGAAATTTGTTTAAATTTTATGATTTATGTTGATAACAAATTTATTTTTCTTAACTAAATTTTTTGATTCTTTAGCTTTAATTAATTTGTAAAATTATGTTATTAATTTAATAACAATTTTTTTTAATATGTACTAAGTGAAAATTTTTTGAAAAAATTATAGGACGATTCTAGCCGAATATCATTTAATTTTTAATTTTGAAAAATTTTTCTAATATTCACGGTCAGCGGATACACTGAAAAAAAATTAACTTCATTAAAAAAAAAAAAAACTTATAAATCAAAAAAAAAAATTTTTAATAATTTTATTGTCTTAAATTAAGACAAAAAATTCTTGTAAGTAAAATTTTTGTAAGCCAAGAAAATATTCTCTTAAAAATAATTTTTTTGGTTAAAAAATTTTTGTCTTACATTTTTTTTTCAGTGTATAAACAAAATCTAGTTCTCTAATTATTATCAGTAGAATTTTTATAAGAAGAAATAAAAGCACTTGGATTTGGATATCTGTAAAATATATCTTGATTCCCCACGTACGAATAGTAAAATGTATAATAATATTATTGATGGTGTATAACACGCATATCGGTGAAGCCATTTGATCTCGAAGCAGCTTGATCCTGCGGAGGTTGAGCATGCGAATAAGCCTCCGTAGTGAGAGTGTGAGTAGGAGAGAGAGGAAGGATTGTTGATGGTACATAGGAGGATGTTGAAGAGGGCCAAAACCAGCAAAAGGAAGTGAGGGTGAAGGTATATAGCAAGCGAGAGGTAATACAAGAGGTAACATATCGATATGGGGCGCCGCGACGAGAACAGAATACAGAAGAGCGCATTATCGCCCATATCCCATATCCCAAAACTATCCTATACCTTATTCTGTCATTCACCTGCGCACATATTCTACATGTTATATAACTTCTCACCAGACGTTAGAATCTTCGAGTTATATTTTACCGCCGCCGATCGATCCTATACCTACACGGAAAATATTATTCCTCGGTAATTATTCTTTCACTCCGATGAATGTTAGAGCTTACTTTTAGCTTTTTGCTTTAACTTGGGCAGATTAAACGAAAAAAAGAGTACAACTGGAATAAAATAGATCGGAATTATGAGGACATAGACGCAGACTGAGTTTCATTATTGCTCGAGTTATTCTCCGTTGGGGTGAAATCCATTGGGCCGCGGGAAAATTTATGAGTCGAACGATCAAATCGGGGACTCTGTTTGAATAAAGAGTAGCTGACGTAAACGACCTGGAAATACTTTTAAATTCAAGTCTCAATGTCATATTCATCACAGATCATCAGACAGCCGCCTGTCTGTAACTATTTATATTGATATATTTTATCGACCTGAAAACACTTAAAACTGTTAACTCAAATTAATCTTTTTTTTAGAGTAAATTATTTGATTTTGATACTAAATATATTATTTTTCGGATAGAAAAAAAAAATTATTTTGAATCAAGAGAAAAATTCTTGAACTAAGAAAATAATTTTGAAAAGTTTCATTGTTTCGAATCAAAACAAAAAATTCTTGAATCAAGTAAAATTTACTTAAACCAAGAAAAATTTTTTTAGCTTAAGAATTTTTCTACTCAAATCAAGAAGATGAAGTTCTTCAAAATTATTTACTTGATTCAAGTAAATTTTTTTTTCTGTGCGAGAAAAAGTTTTTTTTTAAGTATAAATTAATTATCGTGTTTTTGCAGATTGAAAAAAATTAATTTTAATTTAAACACCTCAAACTTAACTCTTTTGTTGGGAGACAATTCAGCGATCATGCGCCTTCTGTCGGAGATTTTCAACACTAACTTTGATCAAAAAATTATATATGGACATTTTAGACAATCATAAAATTTTTTCTCAGATTAGCTAATTTTAACAGATGTTTCTTGAATTTTTTGTAAGTATTTGTGACATAAATATTATTTAAGTCAAATATTACATGCACTGCAAATTATTTTGTACTTTCTGGTGTTTTTTCTCAGTACAATCCGTTCTTTTAACTTGAAAAACGTCATTTTCAGCTATATAGTTTAGAATAGATGTACCATTAACGCCATCTTTTGGAAATTTTGACACTAAGAAGATTATCTCTCGGATAAATTAAATAAAATTACAATTGCTATAAATTACCAACGCAGAAAATAAATTTCATTCACAAATTCGACATTTCGGATCATAACTTTGACACACATTGGACCAATAATTCCGCTTATTGACATTAAATAAATAACGGATCAACGAGAGCGGAACAATACAACTGATGCAAGATGTGTATAATCCTCTCTTTCTCATTTGAGCGTGGAATAAGCCTCGTGTCGCGCGTGGGAGGTGAATGAAGGGAAACAACGGCTGCTGCCGTGATTTATCATACCGTGCCACGCCACGCATTGCCGTACTATAACAACGTATACATGTATAGAGGAAAGCATAATGATACATGGGAGGTATATTCGCGAGTGTAGGCAAGGGCCGTCAGCGATATGGTAGCACACACGTCGGAAAACTGGCTGAGCAGAGTAGAGCCCTCGTACTAATTGACGTCATCGATATTGGTATCCGTCGACGAGCAGATTACCCCGCCGTAAACAACTGCCGCCACCCTCTCACACACATCCGTACATGAAACTAATACCACTACCGCTGTTTGTTCGTTTAGTAAAGTACGGATAGTCGCACTTGTAGCCCTCGGTGTGCCATCGTATCGCATCGCTCGGCTGTCATGGCTCTTTGACACTCCCCCTCTTATAGTTACAGTGCTTAAACTCGGATAGGGGAGAGCTAAATGCCAGCAAGTGTAGTAGCTCACTTACTCACTTATTACTACACAAAGTCGTTAATGACGCGTGCCCATGTCCATTTTTTACGGCCGCGTTTATGGATTTTATTATTTATACCCGTCAATCATGCCATTTAGTATCAGCACATGTTAATAAACACATACTATCACTCCAATATTTTTTTTTACTGTCAAATTTTGAAATTATTAATTTTTGGAAATTCTTTATTCTAAAATTTCAATAAATCAATTATTCGATTTCAATTTTGAGACACTGTAACTCTGCTTCTAATTACTCTATCATCATGATCTTAAGCTCAAAATTTCTTCCAAACCTTCTTCTACAGCCTCATCAATTTTCAATCATTAATATTTTCAAATTCCTGACCTACAAATTTTCAAAAATTATAAATCTTAAATTGCTAATGAAATCATTAATTTTCGATTTTTAACTTTGAAACACTGTAACTCTAATTCTAATTATTCTATCACTATAATTTTGGGCTCTAAATTTTCTTCAAGCTTTCTCCTAAAACCCTATAAATTTTTTACTCTTAATTTTGACAAATATGTAAGCTACGAATTTTTAAAACTTCAAAATCTTCAAATTCCTGCAAAAGAGATCAATTTCAAACCTTCGAGACACCATAACTTTGGTTTTTATTGCCCTAGAGTTTTCACCCTGGGCTCAAAATTTTCTCTGAACCTTCCTCTACAACCCTATAAATTTTCATACTTCGATCTCTATAACTTCTTACATTACAGTTAAATTAATATTAAAAACCGATTCAATCAATGTATCAACCTTTTTTGCTATGTATCAGAATAAAAATTTATCGAATAGGATACTGAAAAATAAGAGGAGAGTGTCGACATCGTTACTCAGATGATAGAGCTTTTGTGTATATCCCTCGCAATCTCGGACGTTGAGATGGTTTATAAACGAATCGTACTTTACCAACGAAATCCAAGGTAATTGAATGCCGACCCTCGTTCAACACACTGTCTATGTCTGTCTCGTCCTCGAGTTTTCCTGTATTAGTATCCACTTTTTTATCTTTTCCTTCTCTCTGGCGAGCTCTCTTTTTCATCGCTCTGCGGCTCACTCACACAAACTCATGCACATGTACGTGGAGCATCAATTCAACTCATCCCCTATAGCCATCACTCACCGTTGCAGACTTATAGCTTTCAATAAAAATGTAAATATGGCGGCGTGGAACGAGCCAATGACAGGGCTACATCCGGCCAAGCGCGGCGGTTTGCTCTAGTTGGTAGCAAGAGCGAGCAGGAGTGAGATGCTCCGATCCAACATAACAGAATATGGAGAGAAGAGAAGAAGAGAGGGCTCGATCTACGTATAGGTGCACGATGCTAGAGTGTGGCACCACCACCACCGTAGAAGAGAACGCCAGCATCCAGCATCCACCATCGGTACTTCCACCCACATATACTGACGCCCATATTGCTCGCGGCGCCTGTTCTGGTGAGACTTATTCGCGGACGACTCAGACTTTGGGATTCTCAGCTTATATATTCTCTCTCTCTATGTCTATGTCTGCCTACATGTGCTTGCAGAGCTTTTAAAGTATACAGGATATATTGCATATGATACTTATTATGAAAAAAATAATGTGTGGAAATATTACGCTCTTTTTTACTTAAAGCGGTATCTAGAAACCGATCGGATAGGTATATACAAGTGTTATTGTGGTATATATATATAAGCTTGTCACGTTTTTTTGGATATTGAATCATAGAATTTTAGATCATTGATCATTTATCATTCATCGTGATAGATCATTCAATCATAAAATTATGGTTCATTAATTATAAATCATAAAAACATGAATCATTGATGATTATTAATCAGTTTGGATTATTTAAGGAGATCCAAGTACCCGGCTGCCCAATTTCAAAACACAGTAACTGATAATTTTAAGATTTTTAAAAACTTCTCTTATTAAAAAAAAAGTTTGCGCGCCAAATTAATAAAAAATTTTATTTTGATATAGAAATAGAAAATACTTTAATATAAATATTTTTAAGAACAAATAGGTACTTGAAATTAGAATCTACAAGTTATATAAAAAATGAAACTATACTAAAAAAAATCAGATATAAAAATTTTGCATTTACTGTGTTTTAAAATTGGGCAGCCAATTTAGGTACCCTCCTAGTGTAAAGAATGTCTATAAAAAATCATACGTAGAAATACTTTTTTTACGCATTTTAAAATTAATTTTTAACCAAATACATGGCTGGTGGAATCTCCATTTACCTACATGTAAAAATTACAATTTCCAAACGTAATTATTTCATTAAATATCCCGGAAACCTACTGATGTTTTTTAATTTTTTTATTATTTATTAGGCTACGTAGATTGAATTTACAAATTTTCAGGAAGTTCTAAAAATTCGACTACTTCGCGTAAGTCTCCTTAATCATTGAAGTAATTATTTAAAAAGTGAAAAAAATTACACTAAAAAAACAATTTTAATTCAAGAAAAAAAAAATTCGTAAGCCAAGAAAATCATTTTGAAGAGCTTTTATGTTCTTAATTTGAGTAAAAAAATTATTTAACTGAAAAATTTTTATTAATTTAAGTAAAATATAATTTTTTTAGTGTAATTTTTTTTTTAAATAAAATTTTAAGTTTAATATAAAAAAAAATTTACCTTAACTTGTGACTCGGACATTCCCAGAGCATAAGCTAGTTTAGCACGTTCTGGTCCAGCAAGATACTTCGTCTGCTCAAATGTCTTCTCCAGAGCAAATATCTGCTGTCCACTAAATGTCGGTCTTGTGTGTTTCTTCTTGCCGTTATCATGCTCACCGCCGGCACCACCACCAGCAGCTCCTGACATCGCTTGTTGACATCCCAACTGCTGTGACACTGAAATATTATCGTTTTATTACACTGATTTTATTTATTATAGATCATAACTCTTGATACTTATCATAATTATCTAAGCCGTAAATTTCAGGGTAAATCGTTTTTAACTATCATAAAATTTTAATAAAAAAAATCTTTCTGATAAAAAAATACTTAGGAGAGAAACTTTAAATATAAATTCAATGATAAATTTACGAAAGAGTGAATCGAGAGCAATTGGAAGATAACTGCGTTATTATTTAAATGAAATAATTTAGCTTGATGCTCGGAGCATAGTATACACTTCAGAGTTAAGTAAGAAAAATAAAATTAAACGAGAAAAAAAGGGTCAAGTTGAAAGAGCGAAAAAAGTAAAGATCCTTTGTTCTCGGTGGGAACGTTACAAGGATTTTCTTTCGGATTTTATCGTGTTCTGGGCAGAAACACCACCCTCCTGTACACACTCAAGAACCGGCTGAGGATAATTACATTTTTTTAATTAGCACATCTCCAACCTCGGGATAATTATAATTATTTGTCTCATAACTGCGTGTGGCGTCATGATTGCTCCTCATTTTTTTAACATTTTCTAATATGCATGTATTACGATTATCTTAATGTAATAATTAAAAATATGTAAGTTTTAATTGCGCGAGCGACCCTAGTCCCTACGTGACTGCTAAATAGATCACTAAAGTAAAAATATAGTTTCAACCTCTACCTCGAGCCAAGATCTTTTTTTAAAAACTAATATTCAGAATTCACTTTTTTTTTATTTTTTTCGTTCTTTACTGATATAGAAAAAGCGACTTTATTTTAATGGAGCAATCTTGAACCAAAAACAATCATTGAAAAGAATTTTATTATCCAACACAGTAAAAAATTTTTCATCAAAAACTTATTCAAAAATTTTTTTCATTTAAATATTTAAGACAGAAACTTTTTTGACGCAATAACAGAAAATTTTTCATTGTAAATCAAGGATAAGAATTTTTTAACAAAATTTTCTTTAAATAAGAATAATTTTATGTTAAAAATAATTCTGCTAAAATCAACTCAATTTTTTTTTACCAATCTTCAAAAAAATAAAAGTATAAATAAATGAAATTTAAATAACATTCAACATAAATTAGAACAAAACTACTTTTCATAACTAATAGTAACAGTACAGGTAATAAGACCACACATTATATTGCATAATAGCTTCTATTAATATTAATATTAATAATAATATATATAAAATCAAGTTAATTTAATTTGGTTTGGTCAATATGATAATAAACGAATATTATACCAATATTTGTATGCAACACGATTATTTATAATTGTTACGTGGTTCTCCGCATTACAGAAATTATAATCGTGCATACCAGTAGTATGACCTCTACTCTGTACTCGTGCAGTAGTGTTTGGTCTGAATATGCCGGCGGAAACGTATTTAATGTATTCCTACAGTACTCTGTGCTTTGCATGTACCTAGCTTTTCTCTTTACTTGTATTTGTTATTATTATCATCATTACTATTACCATTATTAGTATTATTATTATTATCATGCTTGATGCCTGTGCGTTTAGTATGTAGATATAGTACAAGAACATTACGCATTTACAATTCACAATATAAGCGACTGCATTTACATCCACTATTTGTAGTGACAGTTTAATTTACGCTCATGAACTGGTACCTCCTATCAAAGTATTTAGTCCCGAGTCAAACCGATATTTTACCATATCCATTGCTTTTCACTGTTTGCCATTAGATATCGAATATATATGTATGTATATTTATTAGGACCATCGTTTAATCGATTAACAAGTGTACTGCTGCAATTGAATTTAGATTTGGTAATTTATTAGTGTGTTTGAGGAGAGAAGATAATTATATTAAGGTAAAAGCACCTTTACCAAATTTTACTTTTTTTTTGTATTTAATTTTAATATTGTTTCATTTTTATATTTATCAATTAATTAATCTTGTCTCTAATCAAATTAAAATTTTTAAACGTTGATTAAGTAAATTTATTAATTAATTTTAAGTGAAAAAATTTATATTTTAAAAATAAAAATTATAAAATTTTTATTAAATAAATAATATTGGCAATTTTTTATATTTTATTTATCTATTACAAAAAATTTGGTGTAATTGTTAAAAAAGACAATTAATAAAAAATGTGGAGCATTAATAATTGTTGCTTTTACATTAATTAAATGTTTGAATGAAGATAATGATTTTGATTGTAATAATGATAATTTTTTATGCAGTATTTTCTTAAAAGTTTCTAATAAAAAAATGAATTCTTAATTTGTGTTTTTCGTGCATTTTCTTAAGCACAAAGTGTAATTATCTGAAAAGTTTGTGAACAATATCGACCTAATGATATCGGAAAAGACATTACTTGGATTTTACAGACTTAATTCATGGACAGTGAGTTAAAGCGAGAGCGAGAGGGCAGAAGGAAAATAGGGAAATATTTAAGCTTCGGATTCCCTAGGTGTAGGAATGTGGTAAGCAGCTCGTTAGAACCCTCTTCGCCTACTGGCCATTATTGCCTCGTTCAGTATTCCGTTACAAATTGCTTTATTAAATGAAAGTCCCGCAGACCACGTTGCTCCGGCACAGCCAAACCGAGAGAGCTTAATACAGCGAAAGCCCCCTTTACAGCCGCTGTCCTTGCTGCTCTAATATTATCTTTTTGTTCTGTTTTCTCTTGGAACTCTTATGAACACGTTACTACTGTTGGGTGCAGCTACTGCCCGCTGGGCTACGAAACTCTACTGTGTCTGTTGAAATACTTTAGGGGCACTAAAAAACGATTTATTCATGCGAAATATTGGGTATTTAAGCCGAAGAAGTAATAATGTCCATTAATAAATAGTCATTTTTGAGAAAATTATCAATGTGGACGTTAGTAAAATTGAATTCTATTAAATTAGATAGTTAGATGATCAATTTTGAGTAAAAGATTTAATTATTGATCCCCTTTAATTTATTTTAAAATTTATTCAATTAACATGTATATTGAAAAAATAATAATAACTAGCAACCTTGCAGTCACTATGTGACTGCCGTGATTTGAGAACTATAAATAAATAAAATTTTGCTTTATTAAATAATGACTTTTGTTAAATTGCACTGTACTTTTTTAACTATTGACGTTTTTAAAGATATAAGCTCATCCCGATGTTACACTCATCAAGAGCTTTCATTTGAGTACCAACATGGCATTTATTATATATTTTATATATATGGTATTTGTGAAATATATAAATATATAAAATATATGAAAAATTGATATGGGTACTCAAATGAAAGGTCTTGATGAGTGTAACATCAGGATGAGCTTATATCTTTAAAAATGTCAATAGTTTACGAGATACAGGGTAATTTCTTAATTATGTATCTATATAGAGACAGAGCATTTTCGAGTGCAGCCTAAATACTTATCATTATAAATTGACTATTGGTGAGAATGATATGAAACCATGAAAAGGCACAACTCCAGGTCAAGACTTTTCCAACGATACCAAATTTAACCATGAAAACCCATTTTATCATCTAAATACACTGACCACAAAATTTTGCTTATTCTCTTAATAATATAGATAATAATAATTGGTTCAATAAAACATTTTCTACAATTTTTCTTTTGGAACAATTAAATATTCATCAGACGAAGCTTTATTTATGCTGGCTACTCAAAAATATAATTCTAAAAGGAGAACTAAATTACTGTTAATTTTTGGAAATTGTATTTTTTTTAAGAAGATTTAGATTGCATCTTTTAAAGACAATATTCTCTTGCTCAAATATGTAGAATTTTTCTTGACTTAAAAAATGATTTGTAATATAAAAAATTTTTGAACGAAGACAATCGGTTCTTTCAAAATATAATTTTGTATTTGGATCAAAAAAATTTCTCTTGAATCAACTAATTTTTTTTTTTTTCAGTTTATCGATTTTAATCTTATCAATATCAATAAACAAAAAACTAAAAAAAAATGTTTATTTTTTATGAAACTCTGAAGCCCTCGACAAATAAATTTTTTAATAATCCTCGAGATAAATATTTAAATTCACGAACGCATTGGTGATGGTGAATCATAAAAAACCATCTCGAAAAAAATTTATTCAATATGATAATGATAATAAGAATAAAAAAAGTAAAGCTTATCCCTACACTTAAGGAGACAATATTGCTAAATTAAATCTAAGGGAATACTCGTGTCAGCAACTCGGTGCAATAACATTTTTTTTTCACGAGTATAAGGATTGAGATGAACGCGATGTCTTTTCTGGGGATTCGACGTTCTATGATAACTTTTATATGTTCCAAGTAAAGTGAACATGCTTTTTATATGGATAATACACAAAAAAAAATACAAACACACATATCTTAAATCATTTTATAAGAGTGTCTGTACCAATATATATATATATATCAATGTGTGTGCACTATATATTACACTCAAACCTATAAGGTCGAAGTCTCTTTTATCCATCAAGAATTCGCTGGTTCTCGTATCGGTTAGAGGCATAAACACTGATGGTGTGTTGCTCCCGTGGCGATCGTTTTGGCCTCACGAGGCTCATATCACACTCGATCGACGATGAAAAACGCTCACACACATGCACACATCACAAAATATACCCTACTAACTCTAGCAATAAGCTAAGATCTATATTATCTGTAAATAAAATATTATAATCCCCCAGAATCTCTCGATAAATATTTTTTATACTCACTAAATGTTTATAATTTTAATTGTAAACTCTGAATTAATGTCCTACTAATCAATTATTTGCCTTCACTCGAGTTATAAATCGGATTCTTATATAAATCCGTCGTTCCGTGTTTACAAAACATATAAATGTTTTAATGATATGTAAATCTAGTTGGTAATTTATGGGGATTTTAAGTTAAATTAAAAAATTATCCAGTCAAATTTTCCGGTAAACAAAAGTATTAAAATGATTGATGGCTAGCTCGCTAACGATTTTTATTATACAATAATTTAAATTTTAAATAATGACAGCAATAAAAATCTAAAATAACAATAATAAGTGGTTACAAAATAAAAAAGAGCAAATATCTCAACGCGGTGTTTTGTATCCGACGGCACAGCCTGCTACCGTTCGGTCCTATTATATATATTTCTTGAGCAACCACACAGATCTACAACCAACCGATCCCTCGGTGGTCACACACATTTATAGTAAATATACGTGTGTATATATGTGTAGAGAAAATCACCACCCTCCTTAAATTCCGGCACATGTGCCACCGCCGACTTGATCTATGCTCTGAAGCCTAGTAGGGGCGGCAATGTCACGTGTCGCCCTATAATGTACACTTAAAGTATACAATCCACGCGGTTTTACGGTTTTACTTTATCGTTTCTGTTAACATTCTTAAAGGATGTATTACATGGTTAAATAGATTTTTAGGCAATGTCTGTTCATAATTATTAATTACACTCTAGGAACTTTATGGTAATTGCTGTCGTTAATCATTTTTGATAATTACTATTTTATTACTCGTGAGTTATTTTAATATTAACCCTTGCAGGCTACGATTGCGTTATAATTGTTTTTATCTTTCCATGCTTTCGATAAGAATCGTTATCATAAATAATCACTGACAGTTGTATTCTTTGATAACGATATTCAATGTTTTAAATTGAGATATTAATACTAAAATAATATTAAATTTTACTTTGTTTAGTTATTATTAAGGATTTAATTATATGCTTAAGAATTTTTGTGTTAAATAATTTTACTATTTTAATTAAACTCTCAAGAGTTGTAAACTTCGAGGTCTATTTTAAAGCAAAAATTTTGTGATACAAAAAATAAATTAATAATTATCTTGAAAAAGTAAAACTTTTGGAGCAACAAAAATTTTTACTTTAAATAAAATTATTTTGGTCTTTCTCAATAATTTTCTGGGTAAAAATATAATTAAATATCAATTTTAATATACTGATAGAAAAATTTTTTAATTTATTGAATAGAACCAATTATTTTTTAACTTTTAATAAAAATTTTTATGGAGAAAACTCAATTTATTAACAGTTAATAAATATATTTTAAATTCAATATCTCACTTGCAAGATTACATTAATAATTTATACAAAACAAAATATTATCTAATCAATTATTATCACTCTTCAATATTTATTTTATTTGTTATATTATATTTTATAGAAAAACAATTAATCTACCTGATCTATTGGAATTTTTTTATCTATTCAAGTTACGGCGTTACAAAAAGTATCAAAATAAAACTTCGACACCCGTTTTTTTATCCAAGGTTCCAAATAAATGTTTATTAACAGTTAAAAAGAATATTTATCAGTAGTTAATAAAAATTTTTAACTACACTGATAGAACGATTTGTTTATAGTTAAAAATATTTGTTAATATTTAACAAACCATTTATTAGAGACCATTTTTCAGTCCTTAATAAATATTTTTTAGTATTCAAAAAGATTTATTAATATTTAATAAATGAATATCAGATTTATTAAATACAAACAAATTATTTTAAATACTAAGAAATATTTGTTTAATACTAGAAAGTGGTCTCTAATAAATGATTTGTTAACTATTAACAAATATTTTTTGGTACAAATAATTCCTTCTATCAGTGTATTCATCAATTTTCCATAAGTCATTTATCAACTCTAAATAAAAAGATATTAAATCATCAAATGTTAAAAAATAATGAATGAATCTCTTTAAAAATTAACAAATCCTTGTATATCAGTGTATTTTTTTGAGTTTACTTTAATATCAAATAAATAATAAACAACTTACAGGAATGTAACCGAGCTCGCCATGCCAGAGGATCACTAACAAGTCCCTGCAATCCTGGCCAGTAAACAGCCGGATGTCGAGCTTCTGTCCTCTGTTGAAACTGTCCGAGTCCTAAAAAAAATCCACAGTCAAATTGCATCCATAACAAATAAACAAAAATTAATTCCCAAACCAAAGAAACAAACCTGCAGAAGCAGTGAAACCCGCATGCATTCCATATCTCGGCGCAGCCAAGTGCTGCGGATGGCTGGGAGTAGACGCGAGCGCGTGAGCCGCCGAAGAAGGAACCTGAGGATGAGTAGCAGCGGGCCGGGATAGAATATTGTCAATACCGTGCGGATTGCTGCCTACCGAAGTAACAGAAGTAGCTGGGCTATGTTTTCCACTGCCAGTAGGCGACGCTTGGCCCTGCGGAGGTGTTGAATTTATCTGCCCCAGTCCAATAGACTGCCGCTGAAGCTGAGCCGCATGCTGCTGCTGCAATTGCTGCTGTTGTTGTTGGTGCTGATGGCTCCGTTCGGCCATCGAGTGGAGCGCGGCAAGCGGTTGGCTAGCCGCTAGCATGCCCCCACCACTCAGATTTAGGAACTGCAACACGTGAGGCGAAGCCGCAGCGTGAAAATCGTGGAGCCAAGGTGGCCGCGGCGGAGGCGGCGAGTGGCTCGAAGCTGGCGGCGGCGAACAAGATCCCAGTGATGACCCTGCGGAAGAACTCCGGTCGCCGTCCAAGTGTCCGTTTCTTCTGTGGGCATCACTTAGCGATGACATTGCGTCTATTATTTCACTTCTGTCTCTCACTCCAAGGACCAATGGGTGATTCACACCACTACCTCCAGAAATATTGTTATTATTGTTGTTGTTATTATTGTTATTATTAGTATTATGGGACGATGTATCCAGAGTATGATGATGAACACGAGTGGCCTCTGTTATACCGCTATTACGGAGGCTCTCGGCGCTGGTCACGGAGCACACCATCTCGCAACGCGCATAATAATTCGCTGATGACGTGGTCCGATTATCGTCTGGCGATGGACAATCCGTACGGCCAAATCCAGAGTAGTCTAGAGGCTTTGCTGTCGATGCAATATCCAGTTTTTACGTCCTTTGTCTCCGGATTATTTTTATACAAAGTTTACTTATGGCATTTAGACTGTCTAAATATTAATTAATTCCAATTATATATTGATACAATCACTTATATTGTTTCAAACAATTGTACAACAAGTAGACAAAGTTTATAAGCAGACAAATACAATCTTAAATAGTAATTATTACTATGTGTTGTGAATATTTTTATAATTTGACAATCTCCGCTCCAAAATTAACCAAGTTAACTTGTCAAATCTTATTAGCAATGTATATTATTAATTAATTAATTAATTAAAACACTTATCACGTAAAAATAAGTCACAAGTCAGAAAAAATCACAAACACACTTAAGCACAGTTATTATTAATTTTTATTTTCACTTTAAGGTTTCTCCCAATTTTTTAAGCATCCAAAAATCGTATTGTTCAGATAACCAAATGAAATATTTTAGTTATAGAAGTACGAAAAAAAAATCTGAGCAACTCACTAATTATTTAAAATTTCCACAAAATTTAAACAATTTTTTTGTTATTAATTTAACAACAAATAGAAGTTACTATTAATGACAATAATAATTTAAAGTTAAGTAAATTGAAACGGATGGATGAGTAAACGCGTGTCGGAAGTGCGTACAGTGCGCGGCACCTACGAGTGGAACGAGTGGAATGCGAGGTGCATCTCTTGGTCGTTGGACCGTTTTCAGGATTTTCACCCCCGCTGGTGTGTGTTCGGGGTCTCTCTCGCTCCCACAGTCCGGACCCAATAGGCGGCTGGGAATCGCCAGAGGGGAAGATTCTGGACAGGGATTGTGCAGTAGCACGCTGGAGGAGCAGATCTGGAGAGGGCGGGACCAGAGACGCTATTGGAGAACTTGATTCCCGCTACTGCGGAAGTTAACCGCGCTCGCGGGGCGTGGCCTCTCAATCTCGCGTTAGGTTCTTGTTAAATGTCTTTCATTGTGTGTTTAAACTTGTAATTTATGATCCCGACTGAATAAAACAAGAGTAGACCGGCGCGCGCACTAAGCTCAGCTCCAACCCTGTATTATGTACGTGTGGAGTACTTATTATTATACTCATCCTGGTGTTGTGTAGCTGAGGTAGTAGATAGTAGAATAGAAGGACTCGGGACTGAGTCTAGTCCCGATAGACGACTCGAGGTTAGAGTTAGGAGATAGTAAAAGAGTAAAGAGAAATAAAGTGGGATATATGCTTCCAGCACACACATTACGTCACAATCCTTATTCTCACTTTGCCGGACGTTACTGTTGACTTGCACCACTTACAAACTACACTTTAGTTAATGTCCGTGTACCTTATTTTCAGAAAACAGGACGGCTATAATGCTACTGGATAACTTTACTCTTACCGAGTTTAGTATTTTCTCTAAATAACAAACCCTATATTTCAGGTTTGTTTTTGTTTATTTGGTAGTTAAACATAAACACATTTTTCTTGGCCGGTTTGAAGGAAATACTGTTACTCATCTAGTAATTAATTATCACACCACAGCACTTCATTTGAGTATTAGAAAAGGGTGTAGGGGTGGTTTTGATTTTACTAGGGTGAAACTACACATAAAAAAAAATTTATTTAAATCAAGTTAATAATTCTGAAGAACTTCATCTTCTTGATTTGAGTAGGAAAATTCTTAAACTAAGAAATTTTTCTTGGTTTAAGTAAATTTTACTTGATTCAAGAATTTTTCGTTTTAATTTTAGGCAATTAAAATTTTCAAAATTATTTTTTTGGTTCAAAAATTTTTCTCTTGATTCAAGTTAATTTTTTTTTCTGTGTAGATTAAAAAAAACTACTTACACGGAAAAAAAAGTGATATAAATTTTACGTCAGGTGATGCTGTATTCGGTTCACTAGTATAGAAAGTGCTGTATCATAGTATAGTAAAGTATAGGTTATAATACATTAGATACAAAATTAGCGTCTACAGTGAGACAAATTTTGTATCACCTTTTTTTTCCGTGTAGTTTAAAAGAAATATTGTTGAGCTACAAAAATATAATTATTTTGAATTTGAAAAGAATCTGAACACGTTTTTTTAGCATTGAAAATTTTTTATCTTTGAACAAAAGTAGATGGTATCTTTATTAGATCTTATAAAATTTTAATTAAATTGATTTAATCAAAAGCGATATCAAAAAACACTATATAGAAAAAAGAACAATAAAAAATTTTTTACTTCAATAACAAGAGTGCAATTTTGAAGAAAATAATTTTTTTTTTTTTAACAAAGTAGATTTTTCTGTATATTTAGTGTTGGTCATATTTAAATTGGTCATGTTATATTTTCAATTATATCACATGATTTTTATGAAATACTGAAATGTAATAGCTATCATCACTTAGTATTGCAATAAATGAATAATGAATTACTTTTATTCACACTTATACAAAAAATCAATTCCATTTGTGGAGATAATTCAATGCAATATGTCATAACTCATAACGTAAGCGTATCTGATTGGTCTTTCAATTGAATTTACGTATTCAATAGAGAAAATAAGTCATTTTTTCCTCGCTGATTCAACTTTATATACAAAACTTATTACTATTACTATAATGTGTAAGGGGATGAAGAACAATAATGAAAGCCCCCCGAAAAGGTAATTGAGAGCTAATTTTCCAGAACATCAAATTTTATTAACGAGTTGGCAGGTAAAGAATAAGCGGACTCATGCGTGACTATCATGTACGCGCATGCGTTATGTTTCTATCAATGACGTTAACTTTTCGACTGACTTATTACAACTATTATTACCAAATGTAATGGATTAGGTATGCAGTTAGTCAACTGGAGATAATTCATCGTGCAAATGCTTGCAATAGCTTTTAGGATGTGTCAATTTCTTTTCCCCTAGAGCTCCTTTATATATTGTACATCACAAATGTGAGTACATGTATTTATATATCTATGTCTTTATCTGTTATATATTGTATATTGTATTATATTATTATGTTATTCAGTGTATATAACATCCATATATGTGTCTAATATGTACGTTGTGATTTTAGTAACAGGGGATTTCTTTGATACGTCTGATTAAAACTTCAAACATTTTATTTGTGTTAAATTAAATAGATATTTTACAACGATTTGAAAAATTATTGCAGTTTAATGGGTTTGTTTAAATATTTTAGAGACTAAAAAAGAGTGAAATTTACTATGAATTTTTTTTCTATCAGATTTGCACTGTTAGAAAAATTAAATTAACTCACGAGAGAAAATTTTGAACCATAAAAATCATTTTTAAGAATTAGATCATCTTCAATCAAGTGAAGAAATTTTTTAACCAAATTTTTATTTAATCGAGAAATTTTCCTAGCCAAAAGAGTCAAAATTTCCTTATCTTTTTCTTGAATTGTCAGACAGACTCTACAGTAAATAGAATATCCAGCAATGCATAAGACGTAAGTATCGTGGATGACGTGAAGAAAAAACTTCTAGTAGAGCAATGACAGCTGTTAGGTTTCTGAATTTATTTTTATTTTCATATCTCGGTCTCACTTATGTTACAGACATCCCGTCTCTTTATAAATTTTACTTCCATTTTATTCTCATGGCAGTTCTAGTCAGTATCGGGCGTCTATTACTTATTATATTATACATTATTATAGGACTGCACGGTGACTAGTATATTCTCAGGGGCCCAATATCGAGTCTGAGAGCATTCAAGCGTTATATGAGTCCCATTCAGCGGAGAAAAGACACTCTGTATCTGTATTATATGCATCGGAGCAGCTCCTATGAACCAGAGTGTGCCACTGCTGTCTCTACATACTGGCGCCGGTAAAACTCCCTCGATGATCACCGACTGTCGTCGTGCCTCTACAAATTGCCCGGGTGTATATAGTCAATATCCATGCCAATGGAACGATTAAACACGGCACACAATTTTACTTATAATACAGACATCGATGCATTGAAATATGTTATTAGTTATTAGATTGATGAATGACATAAGTTTAATAATCTTTTTCAATATTTTTTTAATAAAGTAAATTTTACATCAATTTATTTCCATAATTTCCCGTGAAAAATTTTTGATGTATCCAAATATAATTTTTGATCTTCAATATGTTCACATGTGTTCTGATATGACCACATCAGGCCTGATATAATCATGTGTGCCCGTATATAATTTTTCGATTAAAGGAAGTGTCCGAAATTTCCAACAGGGAGCGCATGATCGTAAAATCGTCTCCTTACCAGAGAGTTAAGGCTGAGGTGATAAATTTTGAAATAAAAGTTATTTTTGATTTTTGACACTACCATAAGCCTGATTAAGTTTTTTCAGTTTTATGTAACTGCCTTGATTTGTGAACTATAAATGAATAAAATTTTGCTTTATTAAATAATGACTTTAGTTAAATTGCACTGTACTTTTTTAACTATTGACATTTTTAAAGATATAAGCTCATCCCGATGTTATACTCATCAAGAGCTTTCATTTGAGTACCCACATGCATTTTTGATATATCCTCATATATATACATATATGTAATATATATAAATATATAAAATATATGAAAAATTGATGTGGATACTTAAATGAAAGG